CGGTTGAAAACAAAGCTTTACGACATAAGAGATGATTTCAGCTTCCCAATTGTGAACTTTCCATTTCTATGTAGCAACATTTCAGCAGCGCATGCATACGGAGTATATATCTCCCAGTTGATACGATATTCCAGGGCTTGTGTTTTCTATCATTATTTCCATGATAGAGGGTTGCTGCTCATAAAGAAGCTATTAGACCAAGAGTTCCAAGTGGTGAAGTTAAAATCATCCCTTTGTAAGTTTTATGGACGCCATCACGAGTTGGTTGACCGTTATGGAATATCCGTTTCATAGATGATAGCGGATATGTTCTAATGCCGTAACTTCAATTCTGTCCCCCCTTTTCCCGAATGTGTACTACCGAATTAGACTTATTACCGGGTTTCTACTACCATGAGCAACACGACGGGTGCCACATGTGGTGCAGGATCTGCTTACCTTTCCGGAGCACCTGAGATCACCCCAAGTTTTTTTTTTTGGCTTCGTGTTGCTCAGTATGTAGTATTCTATGTTGTGTTTTGTGTACTATTGTTTGTCTGTTTGGCGTTTTCTCTTTGGCGTTGTCCGTTTATTTTCGACTTATGAGTTTGAACGTCCCTCTGGTATCTTTCGCCTTTCTTTTAATAAGATGGACTACTGAAAGTGATACTATATAAAATATGTCTGTGTCAAATTCAGTAGCGATATGTTTTCGTTGTCTCAGATCTTTATATAATAGAAAATTCGTCCGATCTGCAATTTAAGATAGTGTGCCCTATGTCCTATTTTGAATGAGTGTTGATTCGTTTGGCAGGTGATGCAAACAGAGCGGGAAACTCCTACTTAGACGACACATCCAGTTTCGCTCCTTTTAGATTTCCTGCAATTTTCTTTGTTTTTGTTTGATACCTAAATTCATATTTTTTAATCGATTAATGAGGTTTGAACGTCGGAACCCAATTGTTGCCTATAAATGGAGAATGTTGACATTGATTACACAAGAAAAAAGAAATTATTTTTCAACAGTTTACTGTAGAAAATCAAATTTGTAGAAAAATACTGATTTCATACAAAGAAACATTGATGAATGTACCAAAAATTAGGTTAGCTGTAGAAGGCTGAGAATAGGGAATAGTTAAAATGTGAGAGCCAATGTTAGTTTTATTTCATAACTGTGTATTGCTACAGGTTGGATAATATTTAACTTGAAAGTATTTTCTTTTAGAACTGTGAAAATAATTTGTCACAAAGCATGTTTTAAACAGCTATAGAACAGTTCTAACATAGAGCTGGTCTACGATAGAACTGTCAGAATCCAGTATAACGTGAATGATCAATTGTAGGTTTAACCGTAAATATCATTTGTAGAATTGTCTAAATTAAGGCAACAGTCGTTAACCGATGTGCAAATCTAATAATAACAAATCAGCTATTGGGTAGAACTGTTTGATTCTGTTCTTCGGAAGAATAATTCTAAATGACGCAATTAACGTTAAACAGAAGGTCCAAGGCAGGTTTTGAGAATCGTTTGTAATTCATATGTCAGAAAAAAGTATTTAATCGGAAAAGTATTAACAGCCTTGGACGTATGTAAGTGTTGGTATTTTTCCATGATTATAATAATTCTTTTAATAAAAAACACTATTACTTCCGTAACTATTATTAAAATAATATATTTTCTTAAGAAGGACCATAAAATCGGCCAGTCTGTACTTTATGGTTTTTCTAATCTAGAGATTTCATTAACCGGAAACAGAAGATAATAATCCCGCTCAGATTCCTGACCTTAATTTATTTCGCTTTTGGTCGCGTAACAGGTTATTGACAAAGTGTCGTTTGGGAATACAATATATGCAAAAAGGACACATAAACGGTTAATAAGTTATATATAAGAAAAATGTGGGTGTAAAGTTTGAAAGAAAAGGTTTATAAAAAAGTAACTGTTTATAGATATATATATATATATATTTAACATCTTCAAAATTCGACTTTAATGAAACTTTGCCTATTGTTAGAAAATGTACCTATAAACGATGTATGACATGTCCTAATTTAATAGAAGAAAGTTTAATTTATTTTAAAAATGGAAAGCATTTCACAGTTAAACAAAACATGTCTTGAAAAAGTTCAAACGTCATTTATTCTCTCATATGTTCAAATTGTGATGAATTCTATATTGGAGAGACAAAAAACGAACTGCGTTCATAACTGTTCATAGGCAGCAAACCAACCATGAAGATTTAACAATCATCCGGTCTAACGACCATTTCCATCGTTGTTCAAATGGACGATTTAAGATATTTCCATTGTATATGGTGAATCGTCAAAATGATTTTCTCCGGAAGAAGAAAGAAGAATTATTAATAAACATTCTCAACCCGGGATTAAATGATAGATAATATTTTATTTTTTACTTAAATAACACTTTAAAGACTTTACTTAATATTTTAAATGACATTAGTAGTCTCCCTTGTATATGTTAACGTCATACTATTGTTAACGTCAATCAATTGTTTTGTATAACACTAATGTATACAAGTCACATTACCTGAAGATCTGTAAAAGCAGTGAAAGCGCTAGTAAAAGTGATGAATTTAAACCGTTATTATCTTTTATTAATTTTCTTATATATATATATATATATATATATATACAAAAACTGATGTAAGTTTTTATCTCATAAAATCACCGGATCTTATTACCTCCCGTTTTAGCTTTAGTTATTGTATTTGAGTAATTTAAGTCATAGGTTAAAGTGAAAAAAAACCAAAACATGTTTACAAAATAAAAAATTTAAGAGCAAGTTAAATATGTTGTTAAATATCAGGTACAAATATGATGCCTTTTGATGTAGATGATTGAATGAACAAACAAAAAATGAATTCTTGATTACAAAATTATAGTTAAATTCTAGATGACTTATTTAAAGTCAATATATCTAAAACATATGTGTTATTGAACATCCTAATTACCAACAAAGATTAATTTTCATTCGTATTTCAGAAATTTACCTTTTTGAGTGAAATGGCAATACTATAGGTAAAATGTTTGAATAACACAGTGACCATTCATGTTATTTTCTCGATAATTGTTTTCAATATGAATTGCTTTGCTTTTATTAAAACTTATGACTCGACATGTACATCCTGTCGATACTATTTTCTTAAACATTTATTACAGTATTGCACAAGTAATGTTGATCAAAGACTGATTATGTTGTCCGTACACTAAATTTGTTGGAAACGTACCGATTTATACTTTAGTTTGGGAGAACATGATTTATCAATTAGTTGTTATTGGGTTTGAACTAACTATCAGTAACTGCGATAACTGTTAGAACCGCATTTTGTTTCTTTTTCTTTTTGTTACTAGTAGTTTGTTTTGTGCTTCTTGCCGATTTGTGAGTCAAACCATTTCCATTTCATTTTAACAGTTTGTTCTAACGTTGTGTTGTTACACAATGGTCGAAGTTATGGAGATAGTTGACAAATATGTTAACCCTATTACATTCTGTATGTGCCTGTCCCAAATTAGGAGCCTGTTATTGCGTGAATATTGCAGTTACTGTCTGTTATATCTGTTTTTCGTTAAATGTGTTGTCACAAATCAGACCGTTGATTTGTTGATTTGAATTTTTTTACATTTTTTCATGCCAGGGCCTTTTTTGCTAACTATACGGTATGCATTTTGCTCATTGTTATAGATCCATTGGTGACCTATAATTGATTAATTCCACGTCATTTGAACTCTGTGTGATAATGTTGTCATTGGTAAGTTTACCAATATAAGTTATATGGTTTGCTACTGACCCCCTACGGATCCAAAGAGGGTTAGTAAAATCCAAAGGGGGTGAGGCCGAAGGCCGAATTTCCTATGGATTTTATTCACCCTCTATGGTCCGTAGGGGGTCAGTAGTGAACCGTATAACGAATTTATCGCACGCGGGACTTTTTCTGCTGCGTTTTGTAGAAAAATAAACCAAATGAAACACAACAACATTAATAGATGACGTCACCATTAACAGTAGACGTGACGTCATGAACCCCCTATGACATTTACTAGCCCCCCACGGATCCATAGAGGGTAACCCAGTGCCGGAGTTAAACCAATCACAACGTGATAGTTTACCCGCGGTGCGATAAATCTTCTTATTTTGTATAATGTAATAATACATATGTGGTATAGTATTTGTTTTTTAAATTTTGTTTATACTCTTACAACAACGCTAAATAGCCAATCAATGGAAATAACAACGTTAAACAGGAATATTTTGTTTGAAACAATATAAACAATATAAAAGTAGATAAATTATATCTAAGGAATAGATGGACAAATAACACACAAACAACCTAAGACAGACAGACATTTTAATTGCAAAAAATAATCAATTAATCTATTAAGCAATAAAAAAATATTTATTTAAGATTAATGACATGCAATAAATAAATAGCTATTTGAAAAGATGAAATTGTTCACAACTGGTCTAAAATAAAACTGTCAGAATCTGTTTTAACGTGCAACTGAAAGAATAAGTATTTATGCAGAACTGTCTTAAACTGTGCTAAGGTATAAATGTCCAAAACTTTCCAAAAATGTTCTTTCTTATAACGTTCTTTTAGAGTTATGCAAACCCCCTGTTTTTGATTCTAACAAATTTGTATCTTCTTATAGCGCCTGATAAAATTTTGTTAGGTAGACAAATACGACTTTACAATAATCAAATTATTTCTATGTTCAAAAGAATGTTACACTATGACCGAGTCCAATGTAATACGGATGGTTTAAGACGAGATACTATCTTTTTAATAACCCACTTAAACTAAGGAATGGAATTGCATCCTGATGAGGTATAGAAGCGGATATCACATGGCATATACCCTGCAAATATGAATTTTTAGTTTTAAAACTCCCGAATAAACTATATATCCAACAGCTTTCAGTGTACATTCAGAGAAAATGTTTTTGTTTCGTGTCTGTATTTGATACTGTTTAATACACACGCATATACAGTTTCAATTTAATTGCCACCACATGTTTTTGCCATTATCATTTCTGACACAGAAGGTGTTATTTGGGTAAGGATAATAATAGTTATTCGTATAGAAAAAGTAATGTATCATTTTATTACATATTTTTTTTGTCAAACGTTATCGTTATCTGCGAAACATTTAAACGCACGTCAGAGAATAAAATGCAAAACAAATGTAATGAGAAAAATTAGACACTAATCATCTTTAGATTTAATCCATTCTGTCTGGTTTCGATTCTTGGTTTGAACCAAAGCCCCGTCACAGAAACATACATGTTTATTTTCAATTGAATTGAAGTTATGAGATGGATATAGTTCAAGCATTTTCAATATTTTTGCTGGGTTTCTTAAATTTTGTTTATTTTCTAAGTACATATTTTATTAGTACTCTGGATTTTGATTGTTTGAAAATTAATTTACTTTCAAAATATTCTATTTATTCAATCCACTTCTTTCATATTTGACCACATAAACCGTTGATAAATTTATTGCAATGATATCTCATCTTTTACCGTCTTTGGCGTGGCATTTGCCAAAAAATATGAACTCCTGAAGATTTGAATCTTATATTTTGTGAGACCACCCCAGCTTTTTGTGGGGTTCGTGTTGCTCTTTCTTTAGTTATCTACGTTGTATTTTGTATACTGTTTTTTGTCTTTTGATCGTTTTTCTTTTCATGCCATGGCATTGTCAGTTTGTTTTCGACTTATGAGTTTGAATATGCCTTTGGTATCTTTTGCCTCTCTCTTATGCTAGACACGCGTTTGTTTACATAAAACCATCAGTGACGCTGGTAACTTTGGTAATCAAACACGAAGTTGAAGAGAGTTGCAGGTCAAAATTCCTTGAAGTTTTGCCAATTACGAGTAAGACCATCATTGACGCTGGTAACTTTGGTAATCAAACACGAAGTTAAAGAGAGCTGCAGGCCAAAAATTCCTTGAAATTTGCCAATTACGAGTAAGACCATCTATGTCTGGGGTAGAACAACTTCTTTTTGTTTTGTACTTCTTATTGCTAGATATAAAACACTTTTACAAAATGTAAGTAAATTTGCTGATTTCGTATCCTTTGTTGTATTTAATAGCTAAATGAATTACTTGCTTTCCGTTTTCCTAAGTATTTTCAAAGGATTTGTGTGTTATCGTTAATGAAATTGTTATGGATTTCATACCAATATGATTTGTATGTTGCAGTGATGTCTGTTTCGTTATTTCATGTAATTTATGAATTTTATGTATGGACGTAAACTTTTATGACTCCAAAAGTTCCAACAACTGTCAAGATTGATAAAGCTTTATTTATAAAACAGTTATAATAACTACGATTGCTTAACATTAAACAAAAACATATCTTGTTAGGTGCTTTCATGTTCAAAGTTCATTGATAATGATTTTTTAAGAAGTATGAACGCTGGTACATGCATATTTTGTCATGATACTTTTCCAACTTTAAATCATTGTTCATCCTTTTTATGTCAGTTTTGTATCTAAGTGTAAATGCACATTCACTTAATATCAAAGGGTTCTTTTTAGAAGGTTTGAAATCTGCATTTAAATCTTCATTAAATATTATTTTTTTGTAAGAGTCCATGTACAGTATTTTGTTCTTAAGTACATGTAAAACACACCATCGTCCTTCCCTCTCCATTGAAATGCATGAGCAAAGTGTATCGTATCAAAAAGCAAGTCCATATATCTCCATTATATATGATCATCATGAATATAAACAGAACGTCCTAATCAATTCAACCCAACAAGCAGCTACTGGTATATAACTTAAATATAGTAACTGTATAAATTAATGTACTAGTAAAATGTCTGAAATATGAATTACAGGTTCGCTGACAGATGTTTAATATCACTTTCGTCCTTATCAACGTCCTTTTGGAGTTATGCAAACCCCCTAGTTTGATTTTACCAAATTGGTATCTTCTTAAAGTGCCTGATAATATTTTGTTCGGTAGACACATACGAACTTGCAATAAATAAAGTCTATTCTACATGTATGTTTAAAAGTAAGCAGGTCGGTCAGATGTTGACCTCGTCTACTCATTCCTTTCGTTTAGATTAATTTGAATGGAAACAGCATAATCAAACTGAAAAATGGTATTTTCTGTTTCGACACGGTTTTATTCTGCGTAACTATTCGTCAAATGTATGTCGATGCAAAAAAATTGTTCGAATGATATATTACGAAAAATTTGTGAAAAAGTAAGAACTAGAAAATTGAACCTTTCATATCGTTTCTTAAGAATACCATTCACGCCTGGACACAGAAGAAAAATTACCTGTTGCACAAGCTCAGGTGAAAAAATAATAACTTCCTCAAATGGATAGTGTAACATTCAGAAAAAAACCAGTTCATATCAAATAAGTGTAAAGGGTAAATTGGGTAAGGTGAAAATGAAGTATTTTTTATTTGATAATTCCTAGTTATTACGACCAAACAATAATCCATCAAAAGTTTTGCCACGATTACTAAAAAGTGTAGGTCTGTTTTGACAGTTTTCCGACCTATCATACCGTAGCTAAAGCAATAGAAAGTTTTGGCTTCAAAAGCTCAGGGAAGACCATATTTTATACCGAAGTTAACCAATGGGGTCTAGAATATAGGATAAGTCGACATTAATCAATTCAAACATGTATGATGATAATAAGAAAAATATGTTTTTGCAATCATAGCATTATTCGTTGACAATTATTTTGTCGTAAGAACAAGGCTTTTATTTTCTAAATCTGTCATTTTCTTCCCACTTAATGTTACCTCGAACACGTATTTTTGTATATGACCTGATCGTTTTATTTGAATCTTACACAATTCGACTGAATAAGGTTATTATTGGGTTACATTTACCCGTTCACCTGTTAATTCTTTTTCCTGTGCATTTTGTGATAACATAGAATTTTATTATGGAATAATTCTTATTTATAAAGACAGTGATATCAACTTTCACTACATAGTCGCAAAGTATGACAAATTTTCGTCTGAAATTGTGTAAAATTCTGTCTTAACTATCTGAAAAGTATTAATGCCTCCAAATTTTTCTTAACATTGTGATATATTTCTTATATTATTCTAATTTCAATCTAACTTTTGGTCTAAATAGTGTAAAAGTTGTATTAATTTGTCTCAACACTTTCCCAACAGTCTTAACATTGTTCGAATTTGTCTCAACACAAATATTCTCAACTGTCGTAACGTTTTAACTGTCTGAATTTGTCTCAACATGTTATTAACATTCTTAATGCATTCTTAACTGTCTTTACTCAGTGTAATTTTCTTTTGACATTTTTAAACAATCTTAAATTTGTCTTAAAAGTCTGGTTACGTATAGTCTGAAATATCTGAATGTATTCTGTAATAGAATATGGATTTCATACCAATATGATTTGTATGTTGCAGTGATGTCTGTTTCGTTATGTCATGTTATTTATGAATTTTATGTATGGACGTAAACTTTTATGACTCCAAAAGTTCCAACAACTGTCAAGATTGATAAAGCTTTATTTATAAAACAGTTATAATAACTACGATTGCTTAACATTAAACAAAAACATATCTTGTTAGGTGCTTTCATGTTCAAAGTTCATTGATAATGATTTTTTAAGAAGTATGAACGCTGGTACATGCATATTTTGTCATGATACTTTTCCAACTTTAAATCATTGTTCATCCTTTTTATGTCAGTTTTGTATCTAAGTGTAAATGCACATTCTCTTAATATCAAAGGGTTCTTTTTAGAAGGTTTGAAATCTGCATTTAAATCTTCATTAAATATTATTTTTTTGTAAGAGTCCATGTACAGTATTTTGTTCTTAAGTACATGTAAAACACACTATCGTCCTTCCCTCTCCATTGAAATGCATGAGCGAAGTGTATCGTATCAAAAAGCAAGTCCATATATCTCCATTATATATGATCATCATGAATATAAACAGAACGTCCTAATCAATTCAACCTAACAAGCAGCTACTGGTATATAACTTAAATATAGTAACTGTATAAATTAATGTACTAGTAAAATGTCTGAAATATGAATTACAGGTTCGCTGACAGATGTTTAATATCACTTTCGTCCTTATCAACGTCCTTTTGGAGTTATGCAAACCCCCTAGTTTGATTTTACCAAATTGGTATCTTCTTAAAGTGCCTGATAATATTTTGTTCGGTAGACACATACGAACTTGCAATAAATAAAGTCTATTCTACATGTATGTTTAAAAGTAAGCAGATCGGTCAGATGTTGACCTCGTCTACTCATTCCTTTCGTTTAGATTATTTGAATGAAAACAGCATAATCAAACTGAAAAATGGTATTTTCTGTTTCGACACGGTTTTATTCTGCGTAACTATTCGTCAAATGTATGTCGATGCAAAAAATTGTTCGAATGATATATTACGAAAAATTTGTGAAAAAGTAAGAACTAGAAAATTGAACCTTTCATATCGTTTCTTAAGAATACCATTCACGCCTGGACACAGAAGAAAAATTACCTGTTGCACAAGTTCAGGTGAAAAAATAATAACTTCCTCAAATGGATAGTGTAACATTCAGAAAAAAACCAGTTCATATCAAATAAGTGTAAAGGGTAAATTGGGTAAGGTGAAAATGAAGTATTTTTGATTTGATAATTCCTAGTTATTACGACCAAACAATAATCCATCAAAAGTTTTGCCACGATTACTAAAAAGTGTAGGTCTGTTTTGACAGTTTTCCGACCTATCATACCGTAGCTAAAGCAATAGAAAGTTTTGGCTTCAAAAGCTCAGGGAAGACCATATTTTATACCGAAGTTAACCAATGGGGTCTAGAATATAGGATAAGTCGACATTAATCAATTCAAACATGTATGATGATAATAAGAAAAATATGTTTTTGCAATCATAGCATTATTCGTTGACAATTATTTTGTCGTAAGAACAAGGCTTTTATTTTCTAAATCTGTCATTTTCTTCCCACTTAATGTTACCTCGAACACGTATTTTTGTATATGACCTGATCGTTTTATTTGAATCTTACACAATTCGACTGAATAAGGTTATTATTGGGTTACATTTACCCGTTCACCTGTTAATTCTTTTTCCTGTGCATTTTGTGATAACATAGAATTTTATTATGGAATAATTCTTATTTATAAAGACAGTGATATCAACTTTCACTACATAGTCGCAAAGTATGACAAATTTTCGTCTGAAATTGTATAAAATTCTGTCTTAACTATCTGAAAAGTATTAATGCCTCCAAATTTTTCTTAACATTGTGATATATTTCTTATATTATTCTAATTTTAATCTAACTTTGGGTCTAAATAGTGTAAAAGTTGTATTAATTTGTCTCAACACTTTCCCAACAGTCTTAACATTGTTCGAATTTGTCTCAACACAAATATTCTCAACTGTCGTAACGTTTTAACTGTCTGAATTTGTCTCAACATGTTATTAACATTCTTAATGCATTCTTAACAGTCTTTACTCAGTGTAATTTTCTTTTTACATTTTTTAAACAATCTTAAATCTGTCTTAAAAGTCTGGTTACGTATATTCTGAAATATCTGAATGTATTCTGTAATAGAACATGCATGATTTTTTTCTTCCAGTGATTTTTAAGAGTTCAATTTTTATGTCCAGACCACATCGAATCCTTATAAACAAGGTCTCTTCCAAATGCGGAAATTTTTAATGTGTATTTTTTTAATTTGAGTTCAAGAATTGAATAGTAATGAACGTGGTGTTTTATTTGCGTTAATAATGATTAAACAATGCAAATAAGTAAAAAATGAATAAAAAAAAACTGAAGGAATTTAAATTAGCTGTTTTAAGTCATAACTTTAACCTTATTATTTAATGCGTTTCTATGATTCAACTTCATTAATTGATTAATTTACTGAATCAATAAACAAAAATTTTTGTTTTTCTCTTACTCAACCGCGAACTGTTTTGTCTACATTTGTCTATACTTATATTTCAAAATCTGTTTATTACTTATAATCGATAAATTGTTTACGATTTATAATCGAAATTCTGTTTATCATTTATAATCGTCACTCTGATTATAAACTAACCAATGTTAGCAACCTGAGTATAACCTATTCTAATTTTATTTCCGCATGACCACAAAACTCATTCTCAGTTAATATATCGAGCATTTATACATATTTGTATTGCGTTTAAAAAAAACAATATTCTATAAATTATACTTTTAAAAAAACTTGATTTTAAAATATTTGAAAAACATAATTTGTTTCAAACGAAGAAGGAAAAAAATTCTCCCCAATGAACATTAATGAAAACATAAATTCAAACTTGATCTAAAAAAGACTTATCCTGTATGTTATTGAAAAAAAATTAAGTCTAAAGATATAACCCATCCGTCTAAAGACGAATAGTCGTAAAACCTCAGGATAATATGGATAAAATATACAAAATAAATTCAATCAGAACTTTTATAAACTGATGATAGTTCTTTACCAAGATTGCAGATGCAAATACGCATCAAACATATCAGGCTTATAATTTGTTATGGTCAAAATATGGTTTTGAAATAAGTTATTTGATATAAATATGTATACATAAACATTGCTACACATTTAGAATGTCAAAATTGTTTTCAGAAACATTCAAAATGTTAAAAATATGTTGAGACAAATTTATAATGTTAGGAAATTGTTTGAGAAAAAAAAAAACTGACCTTATTCATACTTTTCAGAATTTCAATACTAAATTCATTGACTATATTGGTAATTTCAGAATCTGGTGTTTTTATGGTGTTTGAATTTAAAAGAATTTAAAAAAATTATAAAATTAATTTCTTTGTCAATTAACAATCATATTTTCTGTCTCTCTCCTATACCTAATTAGAGACATATACAATTAAACATGTCTCTGACTAAATGTGCAAGTCGGGAAAACTTAGTCATTGTTTTGCTTTTTAAATATTGTAAAAACAATGCTTTTATACGTCAATTAACTTTATTGAAAGTTCTGATATAAAAACAAATAGCCTTTAAAAATGAATTATATCTTGTAAAAGAAAAATGTCGAAATACAGAGATTTGTTAGATTATTTAAATAGCGCCTTCTTCCGAAATTTGAGAATCATTACATATCCTGCTTTGAAAACGTTTTAATTCGGTCAGAAACATTGAAATATATTTGACGCATGTCTACGCAAGATAAAAAGTTTGTGTGTTTAAAAGAAAATAGAATTCTTAATTTCATCATGCATTTATCTTTCCGATTGAACCCAGTCTAAAGCATTTAGGAAATGAAGTCGAAATATCACCAATCTGCTTAATTGTTTTAACACAAAAATAAATTTGATGATGCTAAAGCTATACCTTTGAATAATAATCGTGACAAAGATGAAGAGGATTTTTGTTTTATAAACAAACAGAGTCATAATTCTACTACTTAAGCCATTTTTAGTAGTGGAGGAAAACATTCATCAGGAAGTTTTAGGCATATATTAAGTCTTTGTTTAACAGTAAAATTTATACATTGAGAATTCACACACTAGTATACGCAATTGATGATTGTTTATTATGAACCATTAAGAAATAAAAACGATTAAAAGATGTACAGATTCGTATGTATCCAGTTTTTAACTCCTTGAAAAATTCAAAATTTTGGGCTTGGTATTTTCTGATGTACAATGAAGTTATTTGGAACTGATAAGACAACTTGTTGACCTAGACCATCATAATGTCTTCATAGACATAATCATCTGCAAATCTTCAATCATTCACCAACTGGTTTTGGATCTATTTAAAAAGTTCAGGAGTCGGTTTCACAAAATAACTTACGACTAAGATTGATCGTAAGTATAATGAATTGTTCATTACTTGCGATCAATCTTAGTCCTAAGTTTTTTTTAAACTGACTCCTGGTATTCAGTAAAGTATTGATTTATTTTGTATTATCTTATAATGTGAATTTATCTAGTTTACTAATCAGTTTTATTTGTTTTATCTCTTGTCTATTGTTTGGTCATTTTTTTGATTATTTTGTATACCATTTTTAATTTGATTGTTAATTAAACTTAACAATTTTGAAATAAATTTTTCAATCTAAATCTCTAGCATGGATCTTATAAATGTTTAATATTAGTATTTCTTTCCTTTTTTTTATGTATTTGAAAAAGAAGGACTGGTTGTACATTTGATATATTTTGGTTACAAAATGTAAATTCTAAAGAAATTTAAAGAAGAAATAAATCAAAATAGCTTTTTATATTTTATTGTTTATCTGTTTTTTTGATTCCGTAATGTTCAATTTCTTCAATTTTATTTACCGCCTCCTGAGCTATGTATCCTTGTTCATTGACAACTATAGTTGTTTATAGTAGTTTTTAAAAATTCCTCGAGTATGTACTGCTAACCCCAAATCAATACCAAGGTGAAAACAGAAACAGCCAGTTAATAAAAATATAATATATGAAGTCAGAATGATGTCTTCGATGTTTATTCAAGTTCACCTCTTGAAAATGTATATGCAAAAAACTAAATTTTATCTAATACAGAAATATAAACCATTTAATAATTAGCATATTAAGAAACATAACAAGGAACTTAAACAGTAATACAAATTATTCAGGTTACAATGATTTATTTGCAGATATTAGCAGGATGAATAATATTCATTGTAAAATATTAATATGATAAAAATGATTTATTTTCAGATTTTAATATGGTTTTCATTTTGCTAATATTAATAACAACTACACATATTGTTACAGGTTAGTAAAAGAAAAATATTGTATTCTGTTATTATATTCATATATTTTCACGAAAAAGATCTTTGTTTAGTAATGATGAAGCTTAATGCATAACCAGGTCATAATAAAATATAATATTTTCATAATAGTTATAGATAAGCAATCCTGGAATTCTGTGCGACTGTCATACAAGTAAGAACTTTAGCTAGCTATAAAACCAGGTTTATTTCACCATTTTCTGAATAAGGAAGTGCTTGTACCAATTCAAGAATATGACAGTTTTTTTCATTTGTTTGATGCGTTTGAGCTTTTGATTGAATCATTTGATAAGGGACTTTACGTTTTGAATTTTCTTTGGAGTTTGGTATTTTTGTTATTTTACATTTTGGAATAAATAGTATCTTTATCTGTTGTTTTTGTGTTAGTGATATTTTTCTCGTACTTATTGTTTGAGTTCAGCCAATTGCAACTGATTTTTACAGTTTGTTCCTTTGTTGTGCTGTTGTTTCAAATTTTCCATGTCGATGCCTTTTCTAGCCTTCTATATGGTATGGGTTTTCTCATAGTTGATGGCCATACGATGGCCTATAATTACTTATATCCACCTCATTTGAATTTTTGTGGATATTTGTATCATTGGCAGTTATACCATTTGAATTTTTGTGGATATTCGTATCATTGGCAATCATACCACATCTTCTTATCTTTATATATATTGCCACAAGGAATATGTAACTTACAGATAGCGTGGCACGATGCTTTTGATTTAACGTCCCTATTCCGACTGGAAATTGCTGAAAATTCATCTCATCCGCACAGCCAAACAGACACTCAACTTCAGAAGGGGTTTAACTACCTGAAAGGGAAAGTCCATGTGACAATACTACTTTGATGATGTCATAAAAAGTAAAATAACAAAAATACCGAACTCCAAGGAAACTAAAAACAGAAAGTCTCTTATTGTGAATATTTACTCTAGTTAGGTTTAAACAATTTTATAAAAATAAAACGTATATCTTTTTTGATTCAGATAACTGAAAAGAAAATGAACACTAATATCATACAACATTTCAAAAATAATCTTCCATATAAAAAAGAAGATGTGGTATGATTGCCAATGAGACAACTCTCCACTAGAGAGACCAAATGACACAGAAATTAACAACTATAGGTCACAGTACGGCCATCAACAATGAGCAAAGCCCATACCGCACATACTTTTTAGGATGGAACCGTTATTACCATAGCAATTATTATTACTACAACTATGGTACTACTGAAATGTCAACAGGATCCACAACAGAAGATACTAGTGTTAGTACGGTTACTATGAATCCCTTTACGGACGGTACATTTACTACTGAAATGACAACAGGACCCACAACAGAAGATACTAGTGTTAGTACGGTTACTATGAATCCCTCTTCTATTGGTATTACTAATAGCTATACATCACCAGTACCTGGTCGGCCGGGCAGACCAATTGGTAAGTATCCAGTGTATGTTTTAACAACTATGTTTTTATTTTTTATTTTAATTTTATTCCTTAAAGATGGATAATACTTTTGGAATCATACGAAAAAAAAAAAAAAAAAAAATAAAAAAAAACACAAAAAAACTAAGACCTTTTATAAGAACTTATTATTTGACTTTAAAACCCTAAAAATGCAAAAAAGTCACGGTTATATAAGAATTAGTGAAAGTAATTGTATACAGGGAATCATTATGTATTTTCAAAAAATATAAACAAAGGGTAAACAAATTCACGAGTGTGTGCAGGAAAAACGTTTTTTACGGAGAGTTAACACACATATTTCTTCATGTCAAAACAACACTAGTCATGTGTTTAAAAAACACAATGCGTAATAACAAATTCTGAATATAATAAAAAACTACAAAAATCTTACGCATTTGGATATTAAGAAACTACAGTTTGTTTGTTCAGATTAAGGGAAAGATTAAGCCATTGCGAATCCAGTCAGTGTTTTAACTTTTGTATTCATATTTTTCACTTTTCTTTTTTCTGCGTTTTTATTTTATTTGGATCGTTTGTCATTTCTTTTGAAAAGTTCAGAAGATGAATGCAATGTTTTCTGGATAAAGGTAGATCTGGACCAATGGTAGATATAAATGAAAATCGATAGATATAGTTTTTGAATTTGCCAAATGGGATTTATATCATGCTTATCTCAAAAATATAATAAAAAGTATGCGTCACGCTACATATTGTTCAAAATTGTTAGATTTGTATAGATAATACATGGAAAAACCAATTATGTGTAATAGAAAGTAGATTAAACGATAGAATTTTAAGATAAAAGATGAGAAGATACTTATTATAATGTGCATTAAACGGGTTTTTTTTTTTAGCTACTTAGTCATATCAAAAAATTCCTAGCACATTCCTTAATAAAAGAAGGGTTATTTGAGTTATCGCCTCTTATATGGCATAATTGAAAAAAATTGAATCATACAAAAAATACTCATATCTTTCTTTTTTTTGTAGTCTTACAAATGAATTACATTCCTCTCTAAAAATGTGTGTAACTTAAATAGATCGCGACCGATTTTGCTCTTTTATTTACAATCTAAGATGCCAATAAAAATCTATCTTTATTTATAAAATTGTAAACATTTTATATTTTTTCTTATCATTTATATATAAAAAACATTTTCTTTTTTCCCGATGAATTGCCGACTGAATGGTTCTCGGAGTGTTATATATTAAAATATGTCATGTCATATCTAAATTTTCTGATATATCGTAATATATAAACCATAGGATGTGGGAAGAAAGGAGATATAGTATTTGTACTAGATTCCTCTGGCAGTGTAGGATCATCAAACTGGAAAATTATGCTGAAGTTTGTGCAAGATGTCATCAATATTTTTACTATTGGTAAAAATGATGTTCAGGTTGGGGTTGATATCTATGCTAATTTTGCCTTTACACGCATAAGGCTTAACTCTTACCAATCAAAGACACAATTGATGGATGCTGTGAAACGTATTTCCTTTACTAATGGTGGGACAGCTACAAACCGGGCGATAGATCATTTGATTAGCAGCAGTTTTTCGCAGTCACATGGTAATGAAATTATCAATGCTTAGAGCCCAGAAATTTCATTTGTTTTTTCGTGTTAAAAGAAAAAGGTTTTAGATACGCCCTTTAATTGGAACAAAGAGTTATTTCATTTTACTTTAATTCTCACTCGTTTTGGGAGGAATTTATTGCCTTGAATTTTTCTTCAAGACTTCAAAAAACGTCTAGTGGTGTGCGTAAGCTTTGACATTATCATACATTAGTCATCACTTAAATTCTATTTAACCCAGCTATATGATAATACAAGAAAGAGTAGTTTTGTTTACATTAGATACTCAGTAAGTTTTTAAATCCTCTCAAAATAAAGTACTGATTACAATGACAAAAAACAGACATAAATCATTGCATACTAGTATTGTAAACATAAGAAGATTATGAACATGAACACAATGTAATACAAAACTCACACACAACAAAACGTTATTTTTCTTATTATCAGGTAGCCGGTCAGGTGTTCCAAAGATTGGCATCATATTAACAGATGGCAGATCGAATTCTCAATTTTCAACAATAGCTGCTGCCAACGCCGCCAGAAAGAAGGGGATCGAGTTGTTTGCTATTGGAATAGGTAGTAGCGTCAATACTGTAGAACTGAAAGGAGTAGCAAATGATCCAGACAGTATTTTTTACTTCAGTGTCCACGATTTCAAAGCGTTGCAATCAATTGAGAGCAGATTAGCCTCAGAAACATGTCAGAGTATGTTTATATACATAAAGTTAATATTGATATTTTAATTTAAGATTATCTGCTCTGTACTTGCCCTTTTTGTTTGTGATGCTCTTGAGCGTTTATAATTTTAGTTATGAATCTCGAGCATACCTTGAATTGACGATTGTTATTCAAGGAAGTGGTCTGCTGTGATGCGCATAGACTTTATTTCATTATTATCACTTGTTGTATACAGCAGCTGTAGTTCTGAACATAACAACTACCCCTAAAAAGCCAGTGCTCTGATATTTGCAAGAATGAATGTTATTTTTGCTTTGAATTTATAGTGCATACTATTATGTCATTGATAAATATCGAAAGGTTGCAACCCTTCAGAAGAATTCAGATGACATCGTTTCTTTTAGATATACATAAGTACTGGTTGAACCTTTTGGTTTTCATGTTTTCTTACATTTTGTATGTTCGGTTTTTAGTTTCGTTTTTCTTGAGTGTATCATGCGTGTTTTGAGAAATCCTTCCAGCGAAGAAAAAGCCAGAAACCTATGTTGTGCTGACTAAAACCTGTATCATTGAACATATTCACCATGATTAACACAAAACCAAGTTTCTTGATAGTTTAAACATCGTTTCACCTTTTGTTTTAATACAGTATATGCATATTGCACGAATATGATTTGTTTTATGTATACATTAAGCTGTTAAAGATGATGTAAATGCTAATACAAAAGTTATTCAATAAAACATTACATAACAAAATCAGTACTAATATAATAAAAACAACAACAATAAAAATTATGATAATATTATGTCTAATGATTATGATTCTGTTTCAGATCTTGAACCGATAACTGGTAAGTGTTTTCTTTTTATATATCATTACAAACGTTTAAGGTTCAAATTGTTTACATCTAACTGGAAGCTTAAACTTGATGAATACTGTTGAAAACTATATTCATTTATCCGCGGCTTTCATATATTTGGTTTTGAACGTTCATGGTGATGGAATATTAAGAAAAGAACAACATGTATAAAATTTTATTTTATTTTTAAATCATCGCACTCATAATCAATGATTTTATAATACTTCAAAAGGAGTTTAGAATTTTCAAAACATGTCAAATAAATCATCTCTTTGAAAGAGTATAATTATATCTGTTAAACTAGTACGGAGTATATAGTATATGATAGTTGCAACCCTAATTGTGGTATGCTTGAACATTTGTCATCTTAGGTTTAATTATTTTTCTCTTATCAAAAGGTTGCAAGGCTGGTGCTGATATAATATTCCTTGTTGATAATTCTGGAAGTGTTGGTTCAAGTAACTTCAATACAACTTTGACGTTTATTTCCGATATTGTTGACGGTCTAAAGATTGGCATAAAAAAAGACAAATTCCAGGTGGGCGTGCTAACTTTTCATACTCCAGTGAAGGCAGAATTTAATCTTGACGAATATCAGGATAAACAAGACGTAAAGAATGCTATTATGGAAATCAGATACGAAGGGGGTGGTACAAATACAGGAGGAGCTATTAAATATTTACACACAACAGCCTTCGCGAGAGCTTCAGGTATATTTACACATTATTAGCAAACTATATATTATCTTATTGATTTTAAAAATGATATTGTAATTGATTTTAAGATAGGAATGTGTCATTTCCAATTGTATGTAAATAAAAATATTTAATATTTATTGGGGGTTGGATATCATTCTCTTACATTATATTCGTTCAACTGCCCTTGATAGATTCTTTTACCAAAAAAAAATACTCTAATTTCAAACATATTCGTTTATTTTCACAAAGAAAAAGGGTGAACAATTAAATACGAAATCAATACGTGTCTATAAGATATGCAAATTATTGAATTGAGCCGTTATCATTATACCTTTATTACTCATGTCAGAAACCATGAAAATATTGACTATAATGCAAGCACATAATGAGTTTATCTGAGTTATTTAAAATATTTCAAAACTGTGCAGACAAAGGTGAGGTACATCGTCAAATAGCTCATCTAATCATTGCTCATTGACACGTGTTCATCTGTGATGATATTCATAAAACTAATAAAGTTAAGATTTTTTCCGAACGGAAGTATTTTTCTACATGTCCTACGATAAGTTAGTATTAAAAATGGTACTTAAATGCAGTCGTTTATTATTTGGTTTACGTTGTCGTTTTATTTTCTTACCAGGTCATAGACCTGGATATCCAATGATTGGGATATTAATAACAGATGGGTATTCATCAAACAAGGCAGAAACTCGAAAAGAAGCAATGAACGCGCGATTGAAGGGTATCAAAATGTTTTCCATTGGAATTGGTAATGCCATGGACACGACGGAACTTGAAAGTGTTGCTAGCGAACCAAAAAGTCAGTTTGTTTTTACTGCTGCCAGTTTTAAATTATTGAAATCTATTGAATCATTATTGCTGAGTAAGACATGCGAAGGTACGTGTTTAAATAATTTAAAATTTGTTACTATGTTGAAGATTGTTTACATATTTGCTAGTCTATAATGTAACCAAAATCGATTGTTAAAACAACGAAAGGCTGTGTCAGAATCAGATATATATATACAGCCAAAATATTACAAATTACAAATTACGTTCTTTTTATCATTTCCATACATGTCAGGTACTTTGTAAGGGTCGGCAATCTTTTTTTTAAATATCTTAAAAGTATTATTGTAAAAAACATTGTGTCCCCAGCGTTCAGATATAATAAGCAAAGTTCAACACAAATACTTCTGATCCAATTGAAAGTAAATAATTTGTGTATCATATCATTTTAATTTAAATCAAGGACTATAAATAGAAGCATTTATTTAGTTTAAACAATATTTTATTTCAAAAGTGCACAATATACAATTATACAATATAAATTCTGGGATTCGGAAACAAGAATAACTTATATAAATCCGTCTCCCTTATATAAATCCGTCTCCCTTATTTATTTGTATCTGAACAAGAACTGATATGATTGAATTAAAAACAATAAGTATTTAAGTATTGTTAAATTTAAAGGTATTGTCTTAAATTTTTCTTGCGTAAACGTAATTTGTGTTTAGAATTTTCCATTTAGCTTGCTGTCAGTTCAGAACTATGTGTCACTTTCATTGTGGCATCTATCATTTACAACAGGTAAACACCGACATTAAAACACGCTTAAAGGACTCAGTCTGGTAGTTGAACACTGCTGTTACAACAGTGTCTACAATGCGTTTCAAATAACTGAGTCATAACTACAACATAGTTATTTTAAGCCATTTGAGACCGAGTTAGAAGGGAATCTGTTTTCCAAATGAAAATAGGAAAAGCAAAAGCAAACATCTTATGACGAATTACGTCCTGAATCTTACCAAAGTCGTTAAAAGACTGGCAGATACATTGAATATAAAACGTTTATAATTATGTATAAATAGTTATATGAAGGACATTTATGTTTAGTCAATTATAAACTATAAATAACATTCATGACAAATTTATTTAATTTCAGTTGCTGATATCAGTAAGTATTCATAGATTAAGGATATATAATGAAACAATTTTATACCGTACAAACGTTCCAAATATTTTTGTTTGAATATGACAAACAGTAAAAAAATAATTTGCACAGAAAAATCTCTTCCTTTTCATATATTTTGTATAGTTAGATTTTATCAAATAGACAATTTATTAATTTTTCGAAGTGAACAAATTCTGTTTGAAGATTATTTTGCCGATTTACACTAGATGTAACGATCTTCCCCCTTTGCAATCCCCTTTGCAGTTGAATATGTAATTGTTTAGACGATTTTTGTTATACTGTTCATGCTCTTTTGGTTTTTATGCGCTCTAACGTTGTATAGTTTTTACTTTTCAAACTTTAAATGTCGAAGGTAATGTTGGTTATTCCGGAGACTTATGTGAGGAACACGATAAGCAATTGCACACATTTCACATGCATGGTATGTAATACATTAGAAAATCTAATTAATTTCAAATCGTTATTGACTATACTCTTCTGATAATTTTACACGCACTAAATTTATAACATTTTAACTTCAATATATATTTTTTTAACGTATTGCACATTCATATATGTATCACTAAATATTGTCTTTTGAATCAGCTTGTTGGGGAAAAACAGACGTTGTTTTTCTACTTGAGGATTCATGTCATATCGGAGAGACGAATTTCAATAAAATGTTACAAATGGTTGAAAACCTTGTGCAAGAAATTCCCATTGGTAACGGAAATATACAGATTGGTGTCAATACATTCAAATGTACTGCTAAAACTGAATTTGTGCTTGGAAAATACAAAACTGGAAAGGATATCATCAAAGCTGTCCAGAGAATTAAGTACACAGGTGGAAAAGTGTCTATTGGCAAGGCTATTGAATATACAAGAAAGAACAGTTTTCCAGGTCTTTATTTTACTCATCTATAAAAGGCTACCTCAACTCTTGCTGCCACTTTAAAGTTAGATTGCAAGGCCTTATTTTATATAATATCTTTAATTGATATCGGACCCTTTCCGTTGTTTAAAAAAGATTGTTTTTATATAGATTTAATTAATACTGATAACTCGGATAGGAAGATAATAAACTAGGTGAAATATTTAAATACATAACCATGTAACACATTTGTTCCCTTTGTGCAAAACGTTTTTTTTCAGACCTCGTTCGCCACATTGAAGTTTATATTGTTTGTATGTCGATAGCTATCTATAGGGATCTTCCATTCCCTACATTGAGGTTAAAATATCCTCTTCAAAGGCAAAGACATATTTATAAATTGATAACCGAATTTCAAGTTCAGTGTGACACAGTCATAACATTTTAAAAATATTCAACTCTATATCAAATAGCTTCTCATAGATAGGATGAATGTTAATCCAGAAATGTGCTTCGGACGCACCAAATATATATAGTATTATCGCCATTAAAGTAGTTGCAAATTATCCCAATATCTTTGCTACTTCCTAATTGGTGATTAATATATCTGCTAATTAAAAAAAACATTAGTCTTTTTTTTTTCAAATCACAAACAAATAATACGAGGCTCGATGACTACATATATAACATTTTACTAAAGAAGTTGTCCAGAAAGGTAACGAGAAAAGAATCAAAACTAAAAATAAGATATTGCATAGAAAAACTTCGTATTTATATTATCTAACAAATTTAACAAGGCCTTGATATAATGCATAAAGGAACTGTATATCAATTACAATATATTTGCACTCAGAGGTAACAGTTAAATTCATTATTGTTAATTTAAATTTTTAAATATTCAAGGTGATTAAAATATCAATAATTTTCCTAAAAGATCATTTAACGGTTTCTTTTTCTAAACAGAGATTTATTTGGCTTATGTTGGGATATTATCATCCCTTTCTAAAAGTCACTGTTGCAATATCTTCATTTTTGCATTAATAGTATGATGAACAATAAAACAAATATAAGCGGTTACATTATCTGATTTATTTGTTATACTAAATGATACGAACCAAAGTAAAGTCTTAATGATCACTCTTAAAATTAATGCTTCTTTGATAAAAACTGAGAGTCGAATTTGTTTGTACTAACATGAGTAACACGACGGGTGCCACATGTGGAGCAGGATCTGATTACCCTTCCGGAGCACCTAAGATCACCCCAGTTTTTGTTAGGGTTCGTGTTGCTCAGTCTTTAGTTTTCTATGTTGTGGTTTGTGTACTGTTGTTTGTCTATTTGTCTGTTTCTGTTTTATCCATAACTTTGTTAGTTTATTTTCGACTTATGAGTTTGATGGTCCCTTTTGGTATCTTCGCCCCTCTTTGACTATCATTTTCTACTTTCAAACAGAAAATCGCAGTAAAGCGAAGAAATTGATGATTATTCTTACAAACGGATCTGACAAGGCACTATCAAAAACACTAGGAGAAGCTCAAAAAGCAAGAAACAGTAACATTAAGATGATGGTAATAGGAATCGGTGATTATACCCATCAGGATTGTCTCCAGGGAATGGCAACAGTACCTCATGATAAATACATATTCTCCCAAGACAGTTTTGATCCTCTAAGAAACATGAGGGATGTTTTAATACAAAGAAAATGCTCTGGTGAGTAAATATTTTTTCACTGAAGTAACTCCATTTCAATGTTTTAGGCAAATCTGTGTATATATATCGTATGCTGCTTAAAATGTCCGTTTTTCATATACGGACACCAGTTTCCCTGCAGGAGAACACTGGAACATGCGGAGGAATATGTGCTAACGAATAATCTGTATGCATGACACTTGTTTCTGGAATAACTTTTACGTGTTCAATTGAGACCAAAGTTTTTGGATGCGAAAAAAATTGTCTTTCCCCTTGGCAAAATTAAACAGCTAAATATCTACAAATATGTTGACAAAGCTTAACACGCTTTCTGTACATAATAAAAAATATAATATGCTAATTTATATACCAAACGCCTATATCTATAAAAAAAATTGATACAATTTTCAATTGGAATGCCTTTAAAAGAAATGTTATATTGTCCACGTTATGTTCACGATCGTGTTTTTAAACATTAGAATCAATGATATATTAATCATAATATAACACTATATACATTCTGATTATAATATTTTTCTTATATTTCAGCATAACTTCTATTGTAAGAGTTGAAATGGATGGTTCGACCTATGTTATCAGAAACAATAAAATATTCACGCTTTAAAAATTAAAAGTGCATTTTGAAATTTAAATTATATTTCTTAATGATTAATTAACGTTTTTTCCCTGTATAAGGATGTAAGATTAACAAGTGCCAATATATCATTATCTGTAAAAGGTCCAGACAACAGAATGCAGAATGAAAATCAATTTTTAAACTTGAAAACCAATTGCAAGATTTATACGAATACAATAAACGTAAACCAGTTATGGAAAACAGCATGCATACATGTACAAATGATGTATTTAACGTGTCTTGTGCAATGTATTTTGAAAATAATAATGTTTCTTCAATCAATACTAACAAAAGATGTCGGTTATCGAGTATAGAGACGGAACCACGACACGAAGAACCAATACACATATAAATTACTATAATATGTCTACGGGTCATAATACAGTTTTCGAAATCACGAATTGGTTAACAGTTATGGATTATTCGTGCAAATTACAACGGATATGTCAAAATTGTCGTAACCACAATCCCGTCTTCATTTCCTTGATTGTATAACCGAATGAGACTTTTTACCAGATTTGTACTTGCAAGGTGAACGCATCAGGTGCAACATGTGGGGAAGAAACTGCTTATTCTTACGGAACACTTGAGTTCTTCCCTGGTTTTTAGTTGGAAATGTGTTGTTCAATCTTTATTTTGTAGTGTTTTGTAAACTTATACGGCCTTTCGTCGCTTTCATTTTTTGCCAAAGCGTTGTCAAAATGTCCTCAACGTATTCTATTGTATGTCCCGTGGCTATCTTTCGCCTCTTGTTTCATCAATAGACAGGTTTCTATACAATATGTCAATGTTTACAATGCAAGTATTATATTAACAGTTACTGCCAAACTCAAAGTACTTGAACCTGAGCCCTGCAAAAACAAAATGCAAAGATTATTGGAAAGTTGAAACCATCTCTTATTTAATTATATGGACGCCATCACGAGTTGAATGACCGTTATGGAACATCTGTTTCACAAATGACGACGGATATGTTCCAATTGTCGTAACTACAATCTCGTCCCCTTTATCCCGATTGTGACCTTCCGAATTAGACTTATCACCGGGTTTGTACTTACACGGGCAACACGACGGGTGCCACATGTGGAGAAAGATTTGCTAACCCTTTCGGAGCACCTGAGATCACAGACAGTTTTTGGTGGGGTTCACGTTGTTCAGTCTGTGGATTTCTATGTTGTGTTTTGTGTACTGTTTGTTGTCAGTTTGTCTTTGTCTTTTTCTTCTTTAGCCATGGCTTTGTCAGTTTATTTTCGAGTTTGAATGTCCCTTTGGTATCTTTTGTCTATCTTTTATAAGTAACTACAAGTATTATGTTTCCAAAAAATAAGTCATTATAACTGTGAAATTTATTATAAAACATCAATAAGGTGTGTGTAGGTTACACTAATTACTCTCCTTTAAAATACGAATATCATTCGTATCATTATAGACGTATACGAGTTTTTGGTTCGAACTCCGAAGGCATGTGAATTACAGCGCAAATAAGTACCGGGTTTGTTAAAGTTGACATTCATTTATAAAGATAGTTGATCAATCAAAAATTAATAAAGGGATTATTCGAATGTCCTTATAGATTCGTTTATTTTGAGGATTTTAGCTATCGTGATTTGTAGATAAGATGTGTCTTGGAATATAATATAACTTGATGTTTAATAAAGGCAACAGTAGTATACCGCTGTTCGAAATTCATAAATCGATTGAGAAAAAACAAATCCGGGTTACAAACTAAAACTGAGGGAAACACATTAAATATAAGAGGAGAACTACAACAAAAACATAACATTAAAATGTAACACACACAGAAACGAACTATAATATAACAATGGCCATTTTCCTGACTTGGTACAGGACATTTTAAGAAAAAAATGGTGGGTTGAACCTGGTTTTGTGGCTAGGCAAACCTCCCGCTTTTATGGCAATGTTAAATATAACATTAAAATGACAACATTACATGACAGGACTACAATACAAATAAATGGGAGAACATATAGGACAGAGAAACATACGAATAATAGCTAACAAAAGGTACCAGGTTTAAAATTAAATACGCAAGACGCGCGTTTTGTCCACACAAGACTTACCAGTGACGCTCAGATAAACAAGTTTGAAAGCCAAAACAAGTACAAAGTTGAAGAGCATTGAGGACCAAACGTTTCAAAAAGTTGTGCCAAATACGATTAAGGTTATATGTCTGGGATAAGAAAATCCTTAGTATTTAGAATAATTCATACTTTTGCAAACAGTAAATTTATAAAAAAATGACTATATAATAGATATACATGATAACACCGAAGTGGTGACTGAATACAGAATAAAAACGGATACATAAAACAACATAAACCAGCACATAAAAATTCACAGCCGAGTTAGCCAAAGAGATCAACGCAAAAAAAAAAAAAGGTGACGTCACATTTGAATTTCTGAAATTTTCCATAAAATAGGATAGAATTAGGATAGAATTCAAGATGTGGTTTAAAACACTCATATAACATTAATTGATAACAATGAAAATTACAATACTCATTAATATAAAATGTGGTTGTAATTAGATAATTAATAGTATTATCTAGCTATGTCGGTGTTTCTTCTAAATCAAACTGTAAACCAAATATATCGTATAAGATTAGTTGACCCAAACTAAAATATAATTAATGAACTGGGTAATTAATTATCTTTACCATAACACACGAATACAACAGAAAACAATAAGATTTACAACTACAAAGGAAATGACAAAATCCGATGAGAATAACAAATATAACATCAAAACTGTTTAAAGTGTTATATATATCATCTGTGGTCGATTTTCCAGTGATATACTTTTCCATAAATAGTACTTAGCGTACGTTACAAACTCATTAAGAATGCAATTAGGTCTTAAACTATTCATTATAAATCCTTTCGTGCTTTAATTACCTTCATAAAGAGCACTAAATCCTTGAAAATTTCAAAGCCAATGATGTATAAGCAGTTTATTAGCTATATGAGCAAAATGGACCAAATAAAAAAATTTATCAACAGAGAAAATATGAAAGGTATGTTATTAAACGGTGTCAGTACCGTAGCATACTGAGCGAACTGATGATATAGTCATGATATAGGACCTTAAATAATAGCCCCTAAGGTCAACTTTGCCTGAGGGAGTTGAAACCTTAGTTTCTTTACAATTTATGAACAGACAATTTTAGAAAAGTTTTGTTATAAATCATGTCAGTAAAAAAGTACTGACTACTGAGCTGACGATAACCTCGGAGACTTTTGGGCTTACCTTTACCTGGAACGCTCAGAGCCAAATATTTGAAAGCCAAGGAAAATACACACTAAAACATGATCCGAAGTTATACACCTTACAGTACATGTAAAGTGAACAATAAAAAGATAATAATGTCGCTACCTTATTATTTTTTGGGTTACAATTTCGTCGATTTCGTTGTTGAATTTAAGGCGACCTACAAATTCAAATGTTCAACGACGTATTATTTTTCGATATATTTTTATGTAGAAATTGGAACTCGACGAAATAAAATATTCATGAATACATTATTATCTTTAATCCACGCAATTGGTAATAAATTAATCCTCCGAACATTCCTTTCTATATTAATCATCTGTTTCTATTCATTCATAAACAATTTAGGTCACCGCCTTTATTGTCCCAATTAATAATATAATTCTAAGTATGGTGTTTGTACAGCTGATGTCTCCCAACAGTAAATGTTCAGTAACACGTAATACAACGTTATAATTTATAAATAAATGACATGTAATTGCTGAGGCAATCTAATGCTTAAACTTTAGACCTTATATCAGATAAATCTTGTTCATTAATCTGCTCTACAAAAGGCAACCCTATATTTTCTATACATACGATTGATTATTATTAGCTAAACGCCAGTAGGCAAATAAATCCTGCATACTTAGGGTAACAGAAATTGAAAAACGAATCATAGAAATACAATGTCAGTTCTGCAAAATTGATCAAGTTGCACAAAGAGCAGAACTGCAACTTAAAAGTGGATTTGTCAGATAGGAACAGAAAATTGGTGTTGCAAATAGGTGTTCTTTTACGTTCAAATTAAGTTAAAATATTATTAAGGAAATAAAAATGAATAAAACCAGATAATCAAAATAAAGAAAGAATAAACCCAAATAATGTATTCATAGAAATAAAAATTAGATTCATGAAAGTTATATTTGAAGAAACTGAATTACTTTGCCAGAAATATAAAGAAAAAAGAACAAAATATTTTCCATAACTAGAATAAGGAGTCGGACTCGGACTTCTTTTAAACTGAGCTTTACTGTGCGTATTGCTGTGTGCTTGTTTATTCTACACTGGCTAGTGGTATAGGGAGAGGGTTGAGATCTCAAATAACATGTTTAACCCTCCGCATTTTTGCGCCTGTCCTAAGTCAGGAGCCTCTGGCCTTTGTTAGTCTTGTATGTTTTTAAATTTGAGTACATTTATATGTTTTGGAGTTTATTGTGACGTCCAATTTCATTGAACTAGTGCACAAATTTGTTTAAGCGCCAGCTGAAGCCCGCTGCCGGGTGCGGGATTTCTCGCTGTGATGAAGACCCATTGGTGGCCTTCGGCTGTTTTCTACTCTTTGGTCGGGTTGTTGTCTCTTTGACACATTCCCCATTTCCATTCTCGATTTTATTTAATGTGCAAAACAAAGAAGATAGATGAAGGTAGACTAAGAGAACATCGAGACATCCAAACCAATTTCTGAAATCATTAACGAATTTGAAAGTTATCAAATATTTTGCTCTATCTTAATGCCTCTTCTCTACGAAATGCATTTGTGCAGTTAAACATTAAATCAGGCATATAAATGAAATTACATAAACTTTCGACATATTCTAAATCAATTTACAAAAAGATACTGGTATACGCCATCAGAAAAAGGATGGATGAATAAGCCGATGTCATGAACAACTCATAAATGAAACGGATAACAAAAATCACCAAAAATATTGAACAGTTTTGTACCTAAAGCGTCAGTCACTGAC